GTGGCGTGCAGTCCATATAGGCAAAAAGGCTTTGCCTACCTTACAAATACCGTGAATAACACTACGTAATAAAAGATATAAACATTTTAATTTAACTACAGAATACTAAAATAATAATTATAATAAAATTAGTGAACGCCTAAAATAAATAGTATAGCAACAATGATGGCGCGCGATACGTGTTGCATTTCGCCAGGCGTACCGTATATAGCTGTAAACATTAACGCGCGAGGCAGGCACGCGGTTCCGTCGCCTGCAAACCATTCATAAATTTAAGCGTGTAGTGGTGAACGTCATTGTGTGCGTAGTGCACAGACGCGTTTATTTTATCGTCGCGAAGCTTGCCTGCAGGCACGGCCTGACGACTCGTGATTGAAGTTCGCCGCGAGCCGACCAATCACGTTCCGTGTCTTGGTTTACTCATTGGTCGCCTCGCAGCGAACTTCACGCCGCTCGCGCGTGACAATTTTTTTGTTTTTGTTTACGTGCGATGCGTGGATTTTCGGATAATTTTGTTATTTGATTTAGAATACGATTAGTAATTCTACGCAAATAATTTGTAGTAAACGGTATAAAATTGTCTATTTATATAAGTACATTTTATTACTGTGTTTGTTTATTTGTTAATTGATTTTGCAAAGTTATACGAAGAACTGTGAAGTTTGTATTGACAAAAGTTGGTAAAGAATTATAAACTATCGCAGACCATCGCTTAGTGATTAGATTGTGTGTGAGTTTTTCTTCTGATAGTCTTGTCTTGGTAAGTTCTATGAAAGTTACTTTATTTTAATGTGATTAGGTTATGTAACATAAGTAGGTACCTACGCGGAGCTTCCCGTCGCGGCAACTCAGTCAGTAAAAATAACGAAGCTTTAAGTAATATGTTATGTACTAATTATAAAATGAAATGAAGAAGAATAAGCTAGGTAAATGAATGTTTAATAATACTAAAAAATGTACTACCGCTTACTCGGCTCGGCCGCAGCCGGCCGCGCTCGGTTCGATTTTTCTATTAGTCATACCCAAGTTCTTAAAATCATAATATCTCTTGAATAGATGAACCAAACTTATTAATTCGAAGAATTAAATTAAAAGAGTAAAGAATTCGTAATATTCTTGTATTAAACGTGAGAAGGCTGGACAGGCCGCCAGTTCAGTACAATTTTTAGAATGAACAATTCGTTACTGCTACTGAATTGATAACATAAATAAGTTTCGGGAGGTACCTGTGTCTGATGGGGCGGGAGGAAACGCCCGGGTGTCATCACTGCGAGGACCGCCCTGAGGACACGGTGGAACACACGGTGGGAGAATGCCCTTCGTGGGCTGAGCACCGCCGTGTCCTCAGGGAAGTGATCGGCGATGGCGACCTCTCGCGTCCGGGCCTAGTGCAGGCCATGATGCGGAGCGAGGGGGATTGGGATGCCGTCTCCTCCTTTTGCGAAGCAGTCATGCTAGCTAAGGAGGAGGCGGGACGCGTGAGGCAGCGAAGCGCTGCCTCCTCGCAACCCAGCCATCGCGAAGGACACACCGGGCGTCGGGGATCGCGGGACGATCTCCGGCCACCGTAAGCGCGGGCCTGCGGACGGCGAGCATGGGTGGCTCCCCGTCCGACCAGAAACAGACCCGAGCGTACGGCGCGTCGCGTTCCGCGCGCGCCTCAAAGAGCCATCAGACCACCACAGATGGGGCCCAATAGGGCCGATGCCGATTCAGAGTCGCGGAGAACCTAACGGGTAACCGGGGCTCCGGCTCGACGTGCAGGAGAAGGAACGGGGTGGTTTTTAGTCAGTAAGAGTCTGACACTCCCTCCCGCCTCACCCAGGCGGGAGCAGTCATTCGATGATTTTCCCCCCTTAAAAAAACCCCTTTCGGGGATAAAAGGCGTGATGATGTTATGTAATTTATTTATTAACTAGCGACCCGCCTCGGCTTCGCACGGGTGCAATACTTATACAAAATTAAAAGTTACAGAATAGCTTGGCTGGACATAATCGAGGAAAACAATTTCACGCGGTCGAAGCAACTGACAGAAGAATTAAATACTATGTAATTTTATTAGGATAACTGTTGCCAAAACGTTAGCTACAAGAATTAATGTTTGTCAGTCTGTTTAAATAAATCATTCCAACAACATTGCATATAATTTATGTCGAAGAAGCCGTGTGGGAAGGATATACACATTATAATGTCATTGACACCGTCGATTTTCTATCAGATCGCTTTTTTTATAATAACTATCGTGAGATATACTAAATGAGCTGAAACCGCGGGTTACTCACGTGAATATACTAAGAAAAGCTCTACTAGTTTCGAACCACAGAGGGGTTCTTCCTCATGAGCAGTGTGCGTGGTCGCGGCGATGTCGCGCAGCTCACTGGCTGGAGTTGGCGCTCGCCTCGGTGTTGCTACTTGCGCTCCGAGCCCAACGCGCCCTCTGGCGGACACTACGAGCGTATGCTTCCAACTCCGGCGGCGCATTGGACGATGTTAACGATCTTTGTAGGAAACTAGTAGAGCTTATCTCAGTATATTCACGTGAGTAACCCGCGATTTTTGTTAATTCATATTTGTAGTTTTTGTGTAAAAGACAATAATACCAACATACTCAATAACTTTTATCCTCGAAAGGGTAGACAGATGTGCATATTATACCACTGTACAAGTACAATGTAACACCCACTTTTCACTATTTATGTTATGAGCCCCATGTAATAGCGGATGAGCCTATTGCCATTTACCGGGCACAATTCCAGACTCCGTGCTACTACTGAGAATGTTTTAAGAACACAGTAATACTTTGCCTGACCCGGGAATCGAACCCGAGACCCCTTGCCCGGCCGACGAGGCAGTCTTGTTATTGTATAAAAGACAAACATAACTACATAATATTCAGAAACGCTCACATTTATAAGTATTTTACAACAAAAAATTAAAGATCTTATGATTTTAAAATGAACATAACGCGAGTGAAGCCATGTCCTAATAGTAGTTAAAACTTTTAATGCACATCCTTGTTTTATAATAGTCTAAACCACGTGATACTTGATACGCGAATTTAAACCGTAAAACATAAAAAATACATAAAATCCGAACTATTTTTGCACATCACAATCCGTTCGGTTTCACACATGACACGCTGATATAAAATGTTCCCATAAAAAATCAATAAAATAACATCTATTTTGGAGCCAATTTTTTATGGGGTTTAGTTACTAACCTCAATGGTTCACTGAAAATAACTTTCATCTAATGACTTCTCCCGCCTGGGTGAGGCGGGAGGGAGTGTCAGACTCTTACTGACTAAAAACCACCTCGTTCCTACTCCTGCACTTCGAGCTGGAGCCCCGGTAAACTTACATTCTTTGCAGCTCCGTATCAGTATCAACCCTATTGGGCTCCATCTGTATTGGTCTGATGGCTCTTTAAGGCGCGCGCAGAACGCGAGGCGCCGTAAGCTTGGGTGAACTGAGAATAACTAGTAAGATAATATCGAACTCAATTTTTAGATTTTTTTAATGGATATGATGCAAATGAGCACCCTCTTTGCCCAGCCCGAAACTCTAACGAGGCACTGCAAAATACCTGAACATCACGCTTTTTTATCTCCAAAGGGATAGGCAGAGGTGCACCTCTGCACATTACTTACGTAGTAACTATTAAGTAATCTGTGACATTACGGCACTTAATGTCACTGTACAATGTAACACCCACTTTTATCTATTTATGTTATGAGTCCCATGTAATAGGGGGTGAGCCTATTGCCATATACCGGGCACAATTCCAGTCTCCGTGCTACTACTGAGGTTTTTTTTAAATAACATCTTACCAGGTGGGAAGTAATCCAGGAACTGCTTAGATTCGTAACCCTGGACCTCTCTGTGCTGGATGGCGGCTCCATGGAACTGTTCATCATCCATGTTCACAGTCAGGACGGCTGCTGAGCCAGCTTCATCCTGGGAAGTCTTGCTGCCCAACCAGAAGTGGATGTCCCAGGCCAAACGGTCTTCCTCGCCTGTTGTCTGGTGAGGAAATGAAAGTTTAAAAATTATGTTTACTATTTTTCAGTTGTTTAAACATAACATAACATCACGCCTTTTATCCGCGAAGGGGTAGGCAGAGGTGCACACAGAAGTAACATCCACTTTTCACTATTTATGTTATGAGTCCCATGTAATAGGAGGTGAGCCTATTGCCATATACCGGGCACCAATTCCAGACTCCGTGCTACTACTGAGATTTTTTTTTTAAACCCAGTAATACTTCACCCGACCCGGGAATCTAACCCGGAACCTCTTGCCCAGCAGTCGCGCTTGCGACCACTCGGCCAACGAGGCATTCTTTTATTGGGACAAGCCCGCCACAACCTCCCAAAACCGCTGCAACTCCTGTAAGCCAGGATCTACAGTAGATACAACCATAAAAACACCGGAACACTGAAGTCCAGCGCATCCCAGGGACATGAGTAACTGTCTTGGCTCCCGCAACGAAGTGAATCAGAAGATATTATAAGAGGAGAAGAAGAAACGACAGGTCATCTATCCACCTACGGCAATTATCAGGTCGTCTGTCCGCCTGCGACATATATCAGGTCGTATGTCCACCTGTGACATAATATATCAGGTCGTCTGTCCACCTGTGACATAAATCAGGTCATCTATCCACTTGCGACATATATCAAGTCGTTTATCTACCTGCAACATATGTATATCAGGTCGTCTGTCCACTTGCCACATATGTACATTAGGTCATCTGCCTACCTGCGATATATATCAAGTCGTCTATCCACCTAAGACAATTATCAGGTCATCTGCCTACCTGCGACATATATCAAGTCGTCTATCCACCTACGACAATTATCAGGTCATCTGCCTACCTGCGACATATATCAGGTCATCTATCCACTTGCGACATATATCAAGTCGTCTCTATCTACCTGCAACATACGTATATCAGGTCGTCTCTCCACCTGCCACATATGTACATTAGGTCATCTGCGTACCTGCGACATATGTATCAAGTCGTCTATCCACCTACGACAATTATCAGGTCATCTCTCCCCTTGCGGCATATATCAGGTCGTCTGTCCTCTTGTGACATAATTATATCAGGTCGTCTATCCACCTGCGACATATATCAGGTCGTCTGTCCACTTGCGACATATATCAGGTCGTCTGTCCAAGTGTCCACCTTGTGTGTGGCCTTTACCTCTGCTTGCTTTTTTTTCACAATATTATAAGACCAGAAATAAAGTGGATACATAGTTACTTACGCTGAGAACGATGTAAGAGTCTCCAGAATAGAAGTTGCCATGATGCGACTTTGGAACAGGGATTGGTTCAAAATCCTGTAACAAAAAACATAATAATATTAGAATTTCATTTATAAACAAATAATAATATTTTTTTTTTCCATCACACCATATACATAGTGTACATTTAGACCTTTTTTTTAGAAGGGGGGAAAATCATCTAATGACTGCTCCCGCCTGGGTGAGGCGGGAGGGAGTGTCAGACTCTGACTGACTAAAACCACCCCGTTCCTTCTCCTGCACGTCGAGTCGGAGCCCCGGTTACCCGTTAGGTTCTCCGCGACACATGTAGACCTTAATATCATCATAACATAACATCACGCCTTTTTATCCCCGAAGGGGTAGGCAGAGGTGCACATTTCGGCACTTAATGCCATTGTACAACGTAACACCCACTTTTCACTATTTATGTTATGAGTCCCATGTAATAGGGGGTGATCCTATTGCCATATACCGGGCACGTTTCCAGAGTCCGTGCTACTACTGAGATTTTTAAAAACCCAGTAATACTTTGATTGACCCGGGCATCGAACCCGAGACCCCTTGTCCGGCAGTCGCACTTGCGACCACTCGGCCAACGAGGCCGTCCTTAATACCAGTCGTATAATATTGACATATGCTTGTGAGAGACTTTGGCTTTACGTTTTGCATACTTTAAGTGACAATCATCGTCATTATCATCATCATAAACAGCCTATAAGTGCCCATTGCTGAGCAAAGCGTCTTCACACACGGAGAAGGTTTTTGCATTAATCCCCACGCTTGATCATTGTGGGTTGGCGATTACAAGACGTCACAAGACGTCCGCTTCTCATGCATGAGAGTACCGAGTACCTGATTCGATACGATCCAACGGTAAGTACAAATGTGTCTTTTTCCCAGTTTTATGTACTTTCTAAGATTATTTAGACACCAATGACAAACGGTGAAGGAAAACTGAGGAAACCTGGGCTTATAATTTCTAATTACAAGTTTGGAATCGCCAACCCACATTGAGCAAGCGTGGTGATTGATGCTCAAACCTCCGTGCGAGCGAGCTTTGGTCAGCAGTGGCCCCTTATAGGCTGTTGATGGTATACATATTTACCTCTATGTGATGATGGCGCTTTATATTTACAAAGCGCCATCTATTTAAATAATTTGGAAGTTCCTATGGGGAAAACAGTATTGTATGAATACAATTATAGTACATAGACAAAATGCAAGGAAAAGTCAACAATATTAATATGTCAAATGATAATATTTAATTCTATAGGTGTCCTGTTTTCCTATATACATTATGATAAGCTAAAATAAATATGTACCATATACATTATGTACCAAATATTATCGATTTTAAAATAAATAATACCTCTACAATCAGTACATTATTAATTAAATTTAAAGTGATAAAAATAATAATGTCAAATCTAAACCTAATGACGTAAATGATAAGGTTATTAACTCGTGTATTAAATATTATAGTCTCTTCCCGCGGGTGTCATATACCCGACTAAGGGACTTTTTATGGGATAAACCGGTAAACGATAAGACGTTTCACCTGATGGTAAGCAATCAGCGTCGCCGTCGCTTGGAACGCCAGAGCCGTCGAGTCGAGTCGTCGAGAATCACCAAGATACGTCTCGTAAAATGTATTTTTTCGTATTCTGACTTCAGATCTATTTTTGAAACAGATCTCTATCGAACATCAGAGAGTTAGGAACAGACTGGTCCCCAGAGAAAAAATCTAGAATAAAAATGAGACATCATTTTTAAGCACCAAAGCTCTAGAAATAGATTATAAAAAAATTACTGAAAAATCTATCTTTTCGCTCTTCAGTGCCAAGTCTTCGAAGTATGTGAGTTAACGACTTATTTTTCAGACATTTTTAGAATTTGATACTAGCTAGCGATGAAGTTTTTTTTCTGTAAAATGTTTGACGGAACAAATTTATTCTTCTTTTGTTTTATTATGATCTTAGGGCCGGGACACATAAACACGACACGACGCCGTCGATAGAATTCAGAGTGAATTGCCGTAGTTAATTTCGAGTAATAGTCCGCACTAGACGCCGTAATGCGCCGTGTATCATTATGATGACGCGACGTCGTTTTCCTCGATGCTCGTCGCAGATTCCCATGAGACGCGACGTTGCTTTGTGAAAGAACGCCGCATCGTGGTACGACACCCGAGCGTACGGCGCGTCGCGTTCCGCGCGCGCCTCAAAGAGCCATCAGACCACCACAGATGGGGCCCAATACGGCCGATGCCGATTCGGAGTCGCGGAGAACCTAACGGGTAACCGGGGCTCCGACTCGACGTGCAGGAGAAGGAATGAGGTGGTTTTTAGTCAGTAAGAGTCTGACACTGCCTCCCGCCTCACCCAGGCGGGAGCAGTAATTCGATGATTTTCCCCCCTTGAAAAAAAAAAGTCGTGGGACGACACGACGTCGTATCGTGTTTATGTGTCCCAGCCCTAAATCTCTAGAGGGTAAGATGTACTTTCGGTCCATGTTTCGACGAAATATACTTGGGAGCAGAAATCGGAGCCACTATCGCTTCTATGATTTTATCGAACCCTCCACTATAACTTAAAAGAAAGATTTATTTTGCTACAATTTGTCATTCATTTTAAAGTTAACTAAATTCCCTTTTACATGACATACGTTACCAATGAACAAAATACTAGTTTCAAATAATATTAATCAAGAAATGATAAAATTAAGATTGATGTGATGGGATGGATTTTTTTATTTATTTATTTACACTTCTTGTAGACATACAATGGCGGACTTAATGCCTAGTGGCCTAGTGGCATTCTCTAACAGTCAACCTTAGGGTGATGCAGAGACACAATAGTAGGTGTAAAATAATTTAAATATTTTTATTTATTTTATTTATTTATTTATGTACACACATCCAACACAAAGAACAATAACTAACCTAACCTTTTTTTTTATGGGGGGAAATCCTCATGGACTGCCTCCGCCTGGGGAAAGGCGGAGGGGTGTGCCGGACTCTTACCGGGTAAAACCACCCCAGTGTCTCTTCGCACGTGCGTGCGGGGCCGCGGGAGTCCAAACTCATCCGCAGCCCCGCATTACAGTGCCGGCCCGTAAATCAGGGCCCCGTCACCTGCACGGAGCAGTGCACCACGTGCATCGCCTCAAAGGCGCACGCCGACACCTGCGCGCGCCTTCGACTCGGGTCTATCGATTCGGGGGCGGGGACTTCCCCAAGTCCTTCGCCCCTGGACCCATTCATGGGGGCCGGAAGAGGGCGTTGTCGGCCCTTCTCCTACGCCCGGTGCGCCTTCTGCGGTTGGGAAAGGAAGTCAGTAAGATCTCCCTCTCCCGTTCCGCAGTTTCCTTCTGCGACATCACATCCTCGCAGCACGACTCTGCGCTGTCCACCATCTTCCGCACTACGGCCGGCAGCGACAGATCGCTTCCTACTTCATTTCTGAGGACACGGCGCTGCTCCTCCCAAGCTACACACTCGGCGAGCGTGTGTTGCACCGTGTCCTCCCCGCAATGGACGCAGTGGTGGCACTGGGCGTCCGGCTCCCTCTCTATGCGGCACAGGTACTTGCCGAAGCAGCCGTGCCCCGACAGCGCCTGCGTCACCCTAAACGACAGGGAGCCGTGCTTCCTCCCGAGCCAGTCGTCGAGTACTGGCCGGATCGCCTCGACGGTAGTAAAGCCGGCGGTGGGGCGCAGAAGCCTTTGCCGCCATTCCGCCACTAAGACCTGACAGAGCTCCTCTCGGCGCCGCTCGATTTGGCGCTGCACCGGCCTCGAGCCCCGTGTCCGCTCTTCCTCGCGCCATCGGTATAGTGACGCGAGTACTTTCGCCTCTAGGTCCCAGGGCGGGGATCCGGCCAGGACGCAAGCCGCCTCGTAGGAAATCGTGCGATACCCGCGGACGACTCTGACAGCCATCGCCCTCTGCGGTTTTTT